TTGTTCGCTCGCTTCACGTGATATAATCTTTATCCAATAATATATGAGATATTTATAATCCAATAAAATATTATGACAAAAGGTCATTATACAACAATATAAAAAGAAAAACTTATATTTTATTATATTTAATTAATAAAGTTTAATATTGTTATATTATTTTTAATTATCATTATATATAAAGTTCTGAAATTTGATTTAGTTTAATTTAAATTTAGTTTGAGTTTGACAAGTTTGATTCAAGTTTAATTTTAAATTTTTTTTAAATATATTATTATAATTCTTAATTCTTTAATTTTAGTTATATTAAAAAAATATAAATAATAAAGATAGCAAAAATAATAGAATTATCTAACTTGTCTAATATATCTATTATTATTTAAAAATTAACTATATTATATTTATTTTATATATATTATATTGTAATATCTTTATTATAAAATATTTTATATAAAAAATTTTTTAAATAAATCAAAAGATATTAATTAATTATTACAAAATTTAGCTAGTCAATAAACTATTTTTTGTTTATTATTAATAAAATATTATATATTAATTAATTTTAAATAATTAAACTTATATGATAAATACTTGTATTAATTATATATTGCTAACAAATATTAATACTATATTATTTTAGAATTATTCTATACTAAGTAGATATTATAATAGTAAAAATCTATTTATAAGATAAAAAAATGTATTATATAATAATTTCAAAGTAATTAAATTGTTAAAATCAATTACATCCAAAATCTAATTAAAAAAATGTTAGTAATATTTATATTATACTAACATTTACTAGAAGCTTGATTATAACAATATCAAAAGTTTAGTTCAAATTTCAAATATTTTTTGAAAAAATCAAATATTTTATCTACTTTAATATGAATAATTTATTTTTCAAAATCAAAATTAATACAAAAAAAGTATAACTTGAAATATTTTACAAGTTATTTATCAGCTTTTTAGTAAGTTATTGATTCTAAACTAAGATATAAGATATATAAACCAATTATTATATTATATTACTAATTTTATTATTAACTTTGTTAATTTTATTAATTTAATTAATACTAGCATTAATAACATTGTTGGTATTAATAACATTATTATACAAGTGATCTGCACTGTATAATAAATCTGACAAGTCATATTTAATTGTATAAGTAATGATCTGCAAAATTTTCAGCGCCTTTGATGTGACTAACCATATTAAGTTTCCTATATCGCCAGATCTTCGATTTAGCGACTGTATATGCGATTTAACTATAATCATCTTGCTTTATTGACATCAATTTTAAACCCCTTTAAAAAATCAGGCTCGATTCAACGAATTCCTAGTTAAAGTTATATGTAAAATTGCCTCTCCGACATTTTTTATTAGAGCTCCAAGTTTAGATTTAGGCATCTGTTTCACATTTTTCATTTGATGTGCATGTGTGTATATAAATCTCTAAATTAACCACTTATAGTTGCATGAATAATGAATGAATATTTATGTATAATAATTTTAGCAAAAATATAACGTAAATGTATTATGGCCAATTTTGAAAATCCATGAATGTAGTATATAGCATTTTTATTGGTTAACTTAATCTTCATATTATAAAGCAAATATTTTTCGTTAATCAAATACCAGATTACACTAGATTTTGCGAAACATGTGAAATTATTTATTATTGTAACAAATACTGCTTATTTCTCAACAGTATATATATATATATAAAATTTTCCGGGATCGATAAAATTATGGATGTGCAAACATCGCTCAAGGATCAAATAATTTCTATGCAATAGAAGAGACCGATCTTTCAGAAATTTTATGTCGACTCAGTTTATTCTCTATATGATATTTTCCAAGGCAGACATACTTTTACTATTGTATGAGTGAGGGATAAAATAGATGTTATTCACCCTATAGTTAGAGCACGGGGGGTATTCCCGAGTTATTTGAAAGTAAAACTAATGAGTGCATATAACTAATTTCTTCAATTAATTTGTTTAATATTCTGTGATACTCGGAAGAAATTTCCTTATACAGAATCTTCTCTGCATGAACAATAAATAACGATAACACCTTTATTTGGCATATTCTCTTGTTCTAAAATTGGACATTATTTCCGCTGATATAACGTGAAACCTAACATCGTCTACGCGTCACATAAAATGTCATCGAACATATAATCATCTAATTTCCCTTTTTTTGTTTACCAAACTATTCTACTTTCTTTCTAGACTTTAGCTGGTTCTAAAGCTTCTCCCTCTATCTTTCTCGCTAATTTATATGCATAGGGTAGTTTTCACTAGGCAACCATTATAGAATATATTCTTTGTACCTATTTGAATTCCCTCAGAAAACACATACAAAAATGCCTGAATCATTTTTTCGGCGAGAATTCGCACCAAGACGTCTTGCTTTTTGGATATTCTGGTTCGGTAGTCACGGTGGCCTGTTTGTTTACGGCTTTCTTAAACAAAAAAACGATCCAGAATTAGCGAATTTAAACGTGCTTCAATTATCGGTATGGATGTCACGTGGAGCTGGCCTATGTTTGGCATACGACGGAGCATTAATCTTGTTACCAGTTCTCAGGAATATAATAAAATATTTGAGACTGACATTTATATCTCGCATAATTCCATTCGACGAAAATATTTGGTTTCATCGACAAGTCGCATATTCGATGTTACTCTGGACATTAGTGCATACATTTTCACATTATGTAAATTTTTGGAAGTTGGAAATTGTGACCAATGGACAGAGACCAGCATGGAAAACACATTATATGACATGGGGAGGACTCACCGGGCATATAATGTTGCTGATAATGATGACAATGTACACATCAGCACATTTAAAAATCAGACGTGCGAGTTTCGAGACATTTTGGTATACACATCAATTGGCATTCTTTTTTATGTTATGTTTATATTTTCATGGTTATGGATGTTTTGTGCAGACAAAAGATGGCGTATGTAAAGGATATCGATCATGGAGATTCACTACTCTGTCTGGAGCGCTTTATTTATTCGAACGTATATTACGCGAGATCAGATCACGACAACAAACTCAGATTACTAAAGTTGTTTCTCACCCAGCAAATGTGATCGAACTTCAGTTTTCGAAACCTGCATTCCATTATAGAGCTGGACAATATTTATTTCTGAATATTCCGAAAATTTCCAGGTTTCAATGGCATCCATTTACTATCACTTCAGCACCCGATGATCCTTACATTTCTGTACATATTCGACAAGTTGGTGATTTTACTATGGCACTTAGCGATTTACTTGGATGCAAGGATATTAAAACAAATGATAGTAAGGGATATGATGAGAAAGGATATGAGAAAGAAAAAGATGAAATGATTAGATCATTCGATTTGTCTTTATCACCGTTACCTTCTCTTAGGATTGATGGACCATATGGTGCTCCTGCTGAAGATGTATTCAAAAATGAAATTGCAATTTTGATTGGATGTGGAATTGGAGTTACTCCTTTTGCTTCCATATTGAAGAATATTTTGTAAGTAAAATAAATTAACAATTAATTGTTCGTTCATTACTAATACACTAATCGATAATATTCATTATTAGGTATCAACACACAAATAAACGCCCGTCAAAATTACGCCGTGTAGAACTCTTTTGGATATGTCGCGACACAGGATCATTCGAATGGGTTCAATCTCTTCTAAAAACACTCGAAACAACACAAATGGAAAAAGGATTCCTCAAAATCCACATTTATCTCACTTCTAAACTACCACAAGCCACCATCGAAAATATCATTTATAATGACGTAAAGGGAGATTACGATCCATTGACTTACCTTACCTCAAGAACTCATTATGGTCGACCAAATTTTTCGTCGATTTTCGAGCAAATTACAAGAAATATCGAAAACGGAGATTATTTGCCAGGTAAAGTACGTGAGGTCGCTACTAAGGTTGGCGTTTATTATTGTGGTCCGCCTCCTTTGGCAAAAAGTATAAAAAGTGAAGCAAAGCGAGCGACTACTCCTAGTGTTGTATTTAATTTCCATAAAGAAAATTTTTGATCATTATTTAAATATTGTAAAAATATCTTAGAATTTTATGGTAAATGAAAGGACAATGTTATTTTTTAAAAATTATGTAAATTACTGGTTCTGGTTGTAATAAAAACCAAAGGACAATAAAAATATAACTTTCTATATGATGAACCGTGAATTTTATAATGAATTGAAATCAATTAATTCAATACACCTAATATACATTTTAACATTTTTGACTATAAAAAATATTATTAGTTTAAACATTAATATTAAGTATTAGTTTCTAATATTATGATGATTAACATTAAATCTTTCCAAGGTAAAATCTATTAATTATACAGATTAAGAAGTGGGTTTCTTGTTGGTATCCTTGATTGTATACTTTCCATACTGTAATAATGAAAATTCGTGAGTACATAAAAAATGAAGCGTTATAGTTATACAACTATTACTTACATTTTTTTCAGGATCGTATATTTCCCATCGACTGGCGGGAAAAATATGTTTATTCTTTTCATACCAATTCCTTTCGACCACTTTACCTGCATGAGACTAAATAAATAATTTGAATTTGAATTCTTTAAATTAATAAATAAAATTAACAAGTTATTCTATAATTAATAACAAACCTCGTCCTTCTCGACGGTAGCATCATGTGTTAGCCGCACGTCATCATGTACGTCAAAGCTGAACAATGGTCCTGACTTTCCTCTTGCTTTATTGATTATGAAATCATAAAAAGTATAATGCTACATGTAATGATTCCAATGTAAAAATCGTTAATGTATGAATATATATAACTAATATGCATTTAATTAATTAGAGATACGTACATGTGGAATAATTAAATCTTCCTTAACATAAATCATGTTATCAACACTAACACCACGCAATTCATGAAATTGCTGTCGACACTTTTCTAAAAAATTCCCGATCGTATCACCTTTTTTGCACGTAACTGTCTTACGATGTCCTGTGCCATCCCAGTAAGAATATGTGATGCTGATTTTTTCGTCTTTGAAAATTACGAGTTAATAAATTAAACATTGTTATATATATATAGTGGACCACTATTAGTATATCAAATATATACTTTTGATTTCTTCTTGTTTTGTCAGCCATTCCAAACGTAGTTTTTCTCTTTCTTTACGCTCTTCTTCCTCTCTTTCTCGATCTGGTAAAAATGAAGTATCAACGTTTGGATTTTTACCAAGTTTTGGCTTTTTCTTTGGAGGTTGCACAATATCTGCGAAAAAAGAATTATAATGGTTATTTCAAGTGCAAAAAGAAACAATCCAAATTAAAAACAATCGTCACAAATCAAACATACTATCATCTGTAGTAGAATCCGTTTTTCCACTCTCTAAATTTTTGTCATTATTAGATATCGCTGAACTATTCCCATCTTCCATCACACTATCTTCTCCATCAATATCAAATGACAATTTTGATTTTTCTTTCTTTTTTCTCTTTATTTTCTTCGCTTTATCTTCTCTAAATATAATATAATATAATATAATACAAAATGAATCAATCTATCTTTATACTGATTTATTTTCTAAGAAAAACCATTAAAAAATCCACCTTAATTCTGCGGTTCGAGCAGCTTCACGCTCTTTTTGAACCTCAAGCTCTTTACGAATTTTTTGAAATTCCTCTAGTCTAACTAAACCAATAGTTTCCTTCTTTAGAGAATCTTCTACATCGTCATAATGAGTCACGAACTTATTGGCAGTTATGTTGACTTGGTTGTCCTGATAAGTTTTATTGATGGATCTAATTTAGCTTTACTACACGTCTTTGAAATAAGTCTTATACAACAAGCTATAGGGTTTGAGAGATAAACAACTTACTCACTTTCGCGATCTTCTCTCGTTGCTTCTCGAAATCACTTAACATCTTGGCACGCTGCTTTTCCAGCATCACTTGTCTTTGGCCTTCGGCGGAACCACCTTTGTACTCTGCCATTATTATATCTTTATTGAAGAATTGGTTTATGAATGTGGACTTTAAATATTGAAATGTCTCTACATTTCGATTTATTTTAATTAAATACCTATACGTCACATGACAGCTTAATGCATACATTAATTCAAATCTCGGGATTTCAAAAATTCATAACACAAAAAATTTTTTTGGTGAAAAATTTTATTTTATTTGATTCACCTCCTTCAAACCCCCAAACCCAACATCAATCTCCAACTCCCACTCCTTAAATCGCAGACAGTAATTGTCCACGTGATCAACTTTATATTCATCCTCAACAATCTCCAGTGAATCGTGAAGAGGAGGCGAAGCGACTGTAGAAACACTCGACCGCCGTGGTTGAGATGGAATCTCCTCTGCGAATTCTCGAATATCCAAATCCATCTCGTTTTTCGCAACACGCGCGGCGGTCACGTCAGAATCATCTTCTACTTGAGCAAGACAATTCTCTAATTCTGTTCCGGTGAGTGGAGGTTCTGGGCCAAGCTTTTTGTTCGGGTTGGGAGCAATATCGTTAAGAAGCTCTCGCCAATCCATTTTTTGGAAGTAATCGGTGGTAAATTCGCCTTCGGTTATTACGAGATTATCAAGCATACGTTTCTGATTTGCTTTTCGTAGCATGTTCTCCTCTATCGAATATTCGCTTACAAATCGATATATATGAACGTCTCTTGTTTGGCCAATGCGATGACATCTGCAATCAAAGTATTTTTAAATATCTTTTACAAAAAATTTTAACTATATAATCAAACAACTTTTATTTACCTGTCTTGACATTGACGGTCCATACACGGATTCCAATCAGAGTCATAAAATACCACCGTATCAGCACCGGTAAGATTGATTCCAAGACCACCAGACCTAGTCGAAGCTATAAATACCAAGATTTTTGGGTCATGATTAAATCGTTCAGTTAACAATTGTCTCTGCTCGACCTTTGTAGCTCCGTCGAGTCGAAGATAACGATGTCCGTGAATATTTAAAAATATTTCAAGAATGTCCAACACTCGCGTCATTTGAGTGAATATAAGTGCTCGGTGACCATCTGCCTTGAGATTACGTAAAAGTTCATCAAGTTTCTGCAACTTGCCACAATCATATTGCAATAGACGTTTATCCGGGAAAGCTATTTGAAGTTTAACACGAATGGGATGATATAAATCTTGTACTTCATTATGAATCTTGTATCGTAACTCGTCCGACATTTCAGCCAAAGCAAATGAAGAAACATCTTTTGCAACAACTTCTGGAGTGACGAACGCGTATCTTTTAATGATTTCATCCATCATTTCATATCTTTGTTCATATGTTTTAATTAAATCTGTCATCGATTCAACTCGGTGCCAATAAGTTCTGGGATTTACAGCAGTTGAGAATGCGGTATCGCATGGAGTAGCTCCAAGCTGACGGCAAAGGCCTATAAGTCCTGTACCATATATTGGACGACGTTTTAGACGAAATAAGTTGATATATTGTATGTGAGCCCAACGTTCACGAGTTTGAATACGATTATATTTTTGAATTGCTTGGTTGAATTGAGACAATTTACTATAATTGACTGGTGCGTAAGGAATTCCTCTTAATGTCAGATCAATGCTTTCAATTTGATTCCGGAATTTAATGTCTGGATTTACATGACCCCATTCATTTGCTACCAGCCAATCATATGTTCCTTCGAATTGCTTTGGCACAAAATTCAGAAATTCCAAATTGACTTTTTCATCAGTCTCTTGCAATAAACGTCGGCGAACTAATAATTCTTTGATTTCATAATCGGCTATCGCTGATTTTGACATTGCAAACGAAGTTCGGATTGGCCTAACTTCAAATAGATCCGGGTGATTACAGACTTTACGTAATTGCATTAAGCAATTTATGATGCTTAGGAAATTTCCCGATTGTAACGTTTCTTTGGTTTTAGCGCGCGACATGAAATCATCATATAGAAATCTTTGACGCTTTGAAAGACGACAATATATTATATGTTCATATTTTCCAGGTAGTTGCTTTTCAACATCAGCTTTCAGACGACGTAAGAGATAAGGCCGCAATACAGTGTGAAGTTTAGAGACTGCGTCACGTGTTTCGTCACTCATTTCTTCGTCATTTTCTAACATTTTATCCACAGGATGTGAAAACCATTCTTGAAACTCTTTTTGATTGGCGAATCCAATTGGCATTGCTTGAGAAACGCCTTGAGGCATCAGAAAATAAAGTAATGACCAAAGCTCCATGAGATTATTTTGCAGTGGTGTGCCAGTAAGTAATAATCTTCTCACAGAATTAAAATTCAATAAAGTCTGCCATCGTTGCGATCTAAAATTTTTAATGTTATGCGCTTCGTCGAGGATAAGGTAATGCCATCTTTTCTTTTTGAATACATTCTGATCATGCACAACGAGCTGATAAGAAGTTATGCAGACATGGAAAGTGTTCTCTTTTGACCAGCCAAGACGCTTCTCTTTTCGCTCCCTTGGACTCCCATAATATGTCAAAATTCTAAAGCCTGGACACCATTTCTTGAATTCCATCTCCCAATTGATAATTACGCTTGTAGGAACAACAATCAAATGTGGCCCCCAAACACCTTTTTCACAGGCGAGATGAGCCAATAGTGCTATGGTCTGAATGGTTTTCCCAAGACCCATTTCATCCGCAAGGATACCATTTAGTCCGTTATTATATAAACTTGCGAGCCAATCAAGTCCCACATGTTGATATTCGCGAAGCTGACCACGAAGTAATATTGGGATTTTTGTTCGAACCACAGCAGTCGATAATGTCGTACCAGTGGGCGGATGAGAAACTACAAGTGGGGATTCCGAACTTTGAATTTCAGATTCGATTTCTTCATTGTCTGAATTTGCTTTCTGTTTTCCTTTGTCTTTAGTGTCGGTTTCTTTCTTATACTCATCATTACCTTCATTTTCCTCATGTTCAAAATCTGCGTCTTCAATTTCTGTATCTGAAACATCACCAAAATCAAATTCATCATCATCAGACTCAAAAGTACCTTCGAAATCACTTTCTGGTTTTCCATTTTGAGTTTTCGCAACAATTTCATGCGAAAATTGCTCATCTTCCAATGGGTATTCATAATTTTCTAACAATTCCTCTAATGTCATATCTTTTTCAGCTTTCAACTTTTTGATTTCATCATCTTCTTCAGAAGACTCGATTTCTGAAGAGAATGTGTTCAAATCAGAAAAAGATTCGCCTTGAAAACTTTCGTCTTCTTCTTCAACTGTCATAAGACTTGGAGTGAAATTCTGTGACATTGAAAATGTTCCATGCAAAGAATTAAATGATGATGATGACGACGACGGTGATCCCGACAGTTCATTTTGTTGAACTTCTAACATCTGAGTCGAATGTTCAAGAAGAAGATTCAAATGACGCTTTCCTTCACGTTCCTGTTTTTCTCGTATGATCTCTTTTTGCTTCGCCAATATAATCTAAGAAATGTGCAGTAGATATACAATGCGAATATGAACATAATAAGTTTTTTACTTTCGCGTGCGCAAGCAAAATAAAATATATTAAATCAAGCAAAAATATTACACACACTGAAATCCTAAGCTAATAATAATGACTCGGAACTTCGATAATAAACTTACAGATTCTACTGTTTTCCATTTTTGCTTTATAAGATTTGCTGTTGTTTTAGCCAACTTTTTAAGTCTTTTTTCTTCTAATTTTCTCTCTTTTGTTCCTTGATTTGCTATTTTGTTGTGATATTGTTGAATCATCCGACTAATTTGCCTGGTAATTTTAAGCTTATTGTCAATCGATTTATTCATGAGCTTTGACCGTGATATTACATGTTCAAGCATATAATCCCTATGGACTAAAGGATGACGAGGTTCCACAGGCGCTTTTATTGGCTTATTAATAAGTCGTCCTTGTTGCTTTAACGAATAAATTCGAAATTGGATCTCTGATTCATGTCCTGCACGTGCTTCAGCTTCAGCTGGTGTAATGTCTTCATCGTCTAGGGTGACAAAAGAGGCGAGATACGCATCAATATTTGGAAATTGTGTTTGTCCACGACTCCGACGAAGAGTATAACTAGATGTAAAAGTATTTATGGTTGGACTGGTTTCAGGTTCAATTTTTTTTACACGCCCGCTGCTTCGTGTGGTTGGCGCTAAGGTTGGCGCCTCTGCTAAATTTAATCCATGGGAACCAACTGATTTTTGAAGCATATTCACGAGAGAATCGCGATGTTGATTGATTGAGCGGCGCGTTGACATTCTCGTAGAGTTTGCTTGTACAGTATTGAGGACTTGATCGCTCATAGTCGACCATAAGTTATGACTCTCAAGAGTCTGATTGATAAAAAGGAATATTCATTGAGTATTAATATTGATGTAATAGGATAAATAAAAATTATATAGGATTCTTCAATATCAATTGATTGAAATATGCATCTTAAATATAAATTTAATAAATTTTATTAAAAGATTGCTAAAATTCGACAACAAAATAACATAAATTATCGTACTTTAACCATACGTTCACTATTATCTTGCTTTAATCGCTGTCGGTCGAGTTCTAAGACCGATACATTAAAATTTTCCATATAATAATGTTCTCGAACCAAAGTATCGTGATCATCGACAACTTTTGCTAGTTCAGCTTCTTTTTCTTTTAATCGTTCATTACGTAATGCTTCAAGAGGTGATATTTTTTTTTCAACTTTTATCGGTGCAAGGGTGGTAGATTTTGTTTTTTCAGAAGTTTTAGCTTTTTTTCTTGGTGTGTATTTCTTATTATTATTAGCATTATTATTATTCTTATTACTATTGATATTATTGGACGAGCAATCTTTTGATTCACCATCCGCATTACGTTTTTTATCATTTTTTGACGATGATGTTGGAGCTGAAGATGATTCTAGAGCTGATGAAGACGACGACGATGGAGCTATTATTGGAAATGATGGTGATAATGTCAACGATGGATTATTATTATTATTATTAACAATAATATTATTAATGATGCCTTGAGCTTCATCACCAGGGGGTGCTTTGGTGATTTCAGGTTCCTGGGCTCGTCTCTTTTTATACTTTCTTGGGCGGGTCTTTGGGGCAGAAGGTTCAATTTGCCTAATACGAGCAGTACCTTCCTTTGCTTGATCATTCAGTGAAAAGGTAAGAGTCCCAGTTGTTCCTCCAGCTGTATTTTCAATTTTTTCTGATTTTCTAGGCCGACCAGGTCCCCTTTTCTTAACTGGTATTGGAGATTGTTGTTGCTGTTGCTGTTGCTGTTGCTGTGATATTGGTGCTGGCGGTTGTGATTGTTGTTGTTGTTGTTGTTGTATGAATGGACCATTATTAGGTATAAATAATGTAGGACTTAGAGTGGTTGTTGTTGATGTATTTAAGGCTTTGGTTATATTTGCATTAATTTCTTCTGCTACACCCGTTCTAAGCGTTGCTTCGATTTCATTATTATTTGCAATAAAGTTATTTTCACCAAAATTACTTCCACTATTTTGTTCCATGTTCTTGTTTTTTGTAATTGAAAAAGTTTCGTCGTTTTGTTGTTCTCGATGTTGTTGTTCCAAATTAATACTTTGGTTTTCGCAAAGAAATGATGATAACATTATTGTAAAGAATTGAACATTTCTGGCAGAAAGTGAAAAAAGTCAAGTGTAATTGTTTAATAATAATGATAAAAAGTATCAATCCAAGCGAGAATTTTTTCTTATATGACAATGTATGACAAACAGATGATGTACGATAAAGTTATAAAGCCGAGTATTTCAAAACATTAATATTAATAATAATAACACGTAATTCACGAGTGATAAATGGTAATCTCGATCAACGATAAGCCAACAGTCAAAGAAATCTAGGCTAAAGAAAATTTGACGAACTTTGAAATAAAACCTTTAGTGTATATTATCTTTTCTTTTGATGAATGATTTTACCAAAATATAAATTTAGTTGATTCTGCAGTTCGTCCCCAAGACTTTTTAACAATTCTTGTTCAATTGAGACCGACTTAATTGCCTCTTTTATTTGAATTAGTAATTGTTCTATTAATGTCCACGGGACCCATCTCGACAATGGTTCTAACGTCTTTTTTTCCTTTTCCTTATTAACAAACAAATTGGAAAATATTAAGTGTTAATGCAAATTTTTATATACGAATTCACAAAAATATATCGAAAATTATTTTACTTGATGGATAATATGCAAAGCGAATTTAGTTGCTTCCGGTAAACATCTGAATTCCAACATGATTTTTAGATAGATATCTTGATTGTTTTTCTTTTGACATATGGTTTTTTTGTTAGTTAAAGTAGAGATAGAGAAAGAGTATTATTACTTTAACAAATTTACCTTAAAAGCCAAAGTTAACCACGGTGGAATTACTATTTGATTATTAGTTTCTAAAATTTTTCGTAACACCACTGTTCGATATTTTGAGTCGGTCATCTGAGCATCATACCCGTCCAAGTACAATTGAAGTAGCTTCCATGCTCTTTCAGAATCGGTGCCTTGTAAAGCATTAGCACGACAACCGATATGTTGAAAGTCGAATATTCTAGGAAAACAAAAAGTTCATTGAATTATTCGTAGTATATAAGGTATAGTTTCCGAACATCATATTACAAGCCATAAGAAAACAAAAACTTACATTTTTCTCAGATCAAAAACATCATTGGTTGATAGTCGTACGCATTTCCAGGCCAATTCATTAAAAATGGGACTCATGTCCAGATTATATTCAGCTGCAAGTTTAAATGCATCTTCAAAATAACCATAGCGCGAGCATAAGACGATTGCGTCTTCAGGATCTAAGGTTCTTTCTATTTAAATAAAATATAAATTTATTATTTGAAAATATCGTGATAACAAACGTCCTAGCAATTTTTACCTTTATAGTCAAAATCTTTTGCTAGCTTTAATTTAATTATGGAAATTGCATAATTCTTCCTAATGTCATCAAGTTCGATTATATCAATTTCCTTGTGATGACTTTTATTTTTCTGTGAATTATCATCTAATTCATCTAGAGAAAATTAAGATCTAATTAAATATCCATAATCTTATTAAAAACAAGACTCACAGTATACCGATTACCAAAAGAATAATTAAGCCTCTGTCGTTTCCGTTTCTATAAATTTAAAACTCCCTCATTTATACGTGAATGAGAAAAAACACCAAAAAAGTACACAAACAACTTACTCTATTATCATCTTTAGATTGAAATTTTCGAGGATAATTAAACCAGGCTTTCTTTTCTTCAACCAATTCTAATGAATTAACTGCGGCTAAATAACTTTGTGTTTGTCGAGCTATCCAATAGTTGAATTCATCAGGTGAAATATCCATCTCGTCAATTTTTTGAGCAAAATGATACATAATTTTGGCGGCTAAATTGATCAAATATAAAATGTGAATAAACAATCTGTATATATTTGAAATACGCCTTTATTCAAACCTTGTACATAGTCACCACTATTAATATAATAGGAGTAGGCGATCATTGAATAATCTGGTGCTTCTTTTGGCTTGGATTCATCGGCCTTCTTGTCTAAGATAGCTTCGAATTCTTCCTCGAGAAGATGAAATGTGAATCGACACAGTTTGTCGGCTTCATCTTTCTTGCATATGATTTCAACAAATTCACGGAGGCATGCTTTTTGTCTTTAATATCACCAGAGATTAATTATATCGGTGATTTATTAAATAAAATTTGCAGAGAAAAAGTTAATTTTTCTTTCTTCTTACCTTTCCTTGTCTGGATTTTCCATCATTGCCAAAAAAGCCTCTTCGTATAAGTCGGCAGCTAACGCGTTTTTAAACATAGTGTGCCATAATTCGATCATCAATTCTTTTCCCTCTGGTGATTTTCGCTGAAACAGTTTGATGATACGGGTCAAAAAAGTGAAATTTTATGGAATTGAAAGCACTAAATGGGCGAAATCGATCTCAACCTCTTGATCACTGAAAGCTCTTAGAGCAAGATGACAACAACGGACTACATTGCTTGGCCGATTGTAGGTTTTAAACTCTTGACCTATTGTTTGCCAATATCCAGCTAAATTTCGAGGTTGTGGATTCACTGGAGGCGCATAAGTAAGTGGTGTTTCTTTTATATCAGCGACTAAATAAAAATTAGTAGGTTAGTGAGTCTATCATTGAATCCATTCACATTTAAGACATTCTTATAATATCTAATACTTAGGAATCTTTGGGGTGAGGTAACATCAAACAAACCAGCCAATAGTACACGTAAAAGACGTACCAAATCCGACAGCGGCCTTTTGAAACCATTCTTGTGCCTTTTCGTATACTCCACATTTAAGATAAAGTTTACCCCAAAGAAAGCAAACACCCGGATTACCAACAAGCAGTTGAAGATAATGATATAACAATCCAAGCTGATTGCTTTGATCAAGAAATATTCCAAAATCTATATAAGAATTTCTAGTACTGACGATATACGAAGCACCACTTGGATAAAAACCGATCTGCTTCAATAAATCAAGAGAAGTCACCAATAATGTCTCTGAAAATCCTCTTTTTTCGTCTACTCGAATCCTCATTTTAAAGTGTAGCAGACTGTGAAGTAAACTATATCGCACAAATCTTGTTGATCCGGTGGCTATGGTAACAGGTTTGAGACTTAGACTCGAAAGAGCCGTAATCAAATCATCATTATTAGAATTATTGGGTACCAATACTAAATTGTTTTTGTCAGATGGCAGCGATTGTGATGATATCCATTTGAGAATAGTTTGTGGATATAATGTTGCCATACATATCGACAAAGAATTTTTTGAAGAATCGGATTTTTCAAATAGCACCAAGATGATTAACAAGAGAAATAAATCCCGGCAGATTGTAAATCGAGATCGGATAATTTCCGAAGTAGTAGAAGCAATTAGTGCATCTGCAAGCACACTGGGCTCCGAGCGAGAATCCTGGGTCGGAAAATTTCCTTCAGAATTAGGAAGCGCACAACATAACAAAGTTTCATGTATTTTACGCAATAACCTTGGCCAGCGATCACACGATTCTACAGAATCATTTATGAGTTGAAGTGTTTCCTTTGTGATGTGTTTTTGGAGATAATGTTTATAAAAGTCTTCGATATCAAAGGTAAGAGCTGATGCTGTGGAAGCATCAGACAAAGTCGCATTAATTTTGTTTTCGATCAAGACCATATCAGAAGTTTCTATATATCTCACTATGTGATTTGCGGCATTAAGTAGCTTAAGTATATCAGATCTAACTTTAATATCGGCTATTAAGGGATATTTTTCGTTCACGAAGCCTGATGTCAGGAGTTCTGAATTCAGGTCATGATAAGATTTTCGTTTAGTATAATCCTCCAGAATCTCAATTTCATCACAACATCGTACAAATGTAATAGCTTCGCTATTAATCACAGTGACAGTGCTTGAAGATGGGAAAATGCATAGTCTTATTGGCTCCCTAGCGTGAAATTCATGTATTTGACAAAGCTGCTTTACTAATTCCCAACTTCTGAACAAATATTCGCGATATTCTTCAGGAAGGTGATTTTTAGCGGAGAGTTTCTTCTTCATCAATTCGCACGCATAATCTTTGATATCAATATCAGATTTTTGTGAAAGAATTGATATCTCTTGATTGATTTCCGTTCTATTTATCGTTTGTGATATGAATCTTTTTTCGAAATCACGCAGACTTCGAATAATTGACGATCTCGAAAATAGACCAGGATAAAAAATATAATTCAAATAAGCCGCGTCAATGTCTTTCTCAGTAATATTTGGTTGGCGAGAGACAATGTCTGAAGGATTGAAGGGATTTTCTGCATAGGACACTATATTCCAATTATTAGAAAATTCGCATTCAACATCTTCGTCGTCTTTATCCAAAATAGCCGCGAAATTTAAAGAAAATTTAGTAAATAATATTGCCGGCCTTGTTTTATTTTCTTGACCTTGCAAGACGGCCCACAACTCAAATTTTCGTTGATTTTGTGGTTCGTCTGCCATTTGAATATCGTTTAATTCGACCAAAGAAAAATCAACTAAATTGCTGAATAGGGGAAACTCATGCAAGTCTAGATTTGTATTCTCAATTGGTATCGTTTCAACTCTTTGTAAATATTTCAGATCACCAGTCGAGTGAAAAGCCACTTGATAAATAACAAAAAGATTTTTGCTGTAGCGAGTAGACAAAAATATTATAAAGCTAAATGTCAATGAATTATTTGTCACAGGTGGAATAACTCTGATAAAACCTCGAGAACTGGAAGTTGAGAAATCTTCCGTTTCTGTTGCCGGTATCACAAAAGAGTCATCGGTAAGGTGATCTCGGTTCTTATGTAGAGACCAAACTTTAACTTGTTGATCATTGCAAATCCACACAAGGAATCTATTAGATCTTTGATCCTGGTATGAATCGAATGCAACAGGTCTAGATAGTTCATATTCATCATTTCCAGTAACAGACGATCCACGTTCAGGTTCTGGCCAAAAGATTATTTTTGAAAAGAAAATCTTTGGCATATCTTTAACATATTGAAAATTCTCTGCTATTTGATCCAATATCTTATTTGTCACTTGATCTTCTCGAAATCTTGGAACGACTACGATGGAAAATATAGTTTATTCATTTAATTAAGATATTTTTACTATATAGTATACAAAAAAAACAAAAGTCAAAAATCGAGAATTCATTATAATATTTCCAATTTAATGTTTCTTTTCGCAAGGCATACCTGTATCCCTATCATAGTAAATTGACAAAATAGATCCATCATCACATCCAATCGCAGAACTATCATAATTAACCGCGTGCAACAAAACTGGCTCCTTTCCGTGCAACAAGGCCACCGGATGAGACTCGTGCACATATTTCGAGTGTTTCATTAAGAACAAATTTCGTAAAGGCAGCGAGAGCCTATGTAACTCTTTATTATCAAGCAACACAACAAACTGTAATGCATATGCCGAAACATTTTCAAATAAACTGACACCAGGTAAAATTTTCGCAGGAAAGACGTATTGCACGGTTTGTCTGAACGCCTGATCCAGTCCTGGCTGTTCCGATTTTGCACAGTATAGTGAACACAACCTCAACTCAAGAATTCGATCTTTAAGCACGCGCCATAAAATATAGTACGCGTTATCATTTTTCAAATTATAAAGTGCACCTTGAGTTGCAATGACTTTACGATCTTGTTGGTCAAGTGAAAGTTGGTCGCTTGGAAAAGACTGGTCATGTGCTGCAACTTTGTATATGAATGGTTCTGTGGTTTCATGGAAATTGCCAATCGGAATTATTGTTTCCTTTAACCAAAGACCTACTTTAGAACTCTCCATTTTTGTCAAACAGCTTTGAATCGTCGATCTCTTATAAATTTTTACCCAATGAAATAAAAATGCTTATTTCGTATTTTACATGATTGCCAATCTTTTTTAAATATACATGACTGTATTATTAGGATGTAATTTAAAAAATATGTCAATTGAGACAAAATATTGTTGATAATTATTATGTAATTTTTGAAAAAATAAATATTTTATATATAATTATTAGTATTATTAATGTAATTTTAAAAAAATAAATACTCTATATATATAATTATTTGTATTATTAATGTTTTGGTTTACTAGTGTTCGCGTTAGATTTTCTAGTATTTTTATAAGTCTTTCGATAAAAATTAATAAAAAGCACTAAATAGGTGCTCAGAATAAGACATCCAAAAAGCGCGGCATCCCCCTCACCAGCACAATTCCCGAAATGCGGCATTTTCGGCCAATGATTGAACGCGAAATAGGTGTATGAGCCAGAATACACGAATACTAGATCGAGAATAAACTGAACTATTTGCATCGTGGTGAGATGTTTTTTCCACCAGATCCGTGCCCCGCCTGCTGCGCGAAAGTAGTAATAGTACATGGCGACATGGACTGTTAAGTTTAATGAGACTGGGATCCATGACTTTTTTTTGGAGATGTTTGTATATGTATTTTTTCGTGTATGTACGCGTGTATGGTTTTGTGTATGTGTTTGATATTGGTTGATCGATAGGTTGAAAACCATTTAAAGATATTGAAAAATTGTTGTTAGTTTGAAATCGACGTATGGGCTGATTTGACTACCAAAACAATTTAGATTTGGCCCAGTTTTGATAATTTTTGGCTGGAGTTAAGTCGGTTGTGGAATCAAATCCGCCCATATGAAATAACGGTAAAAATAAAAAAATTTCATTATGAAAAATTTAGCTTACCAAAACAGTGCGACCACGTAATTGAACAAAACATAAAACTAGAGTCATACTGTGATGATATACATGCAGAAATTCTACAAGACAAATTTTGAAAGAGAAGGAACAAAAGAAAAAATTCCCCAATTTTTAATAAAATCAAGCGAGATTAATTATCAATGATTGAATTTTTTCCTCTTTCCCTCCTCCCTCATTCCTCCTAATCGCCTCACTCAAATAACAAAACTCACCCAAAGGTTTCTTTCTCAACACCAAAAACATGGTATCCGCCAATTCCCAATATTTTACCAAATAATTCAAATAAAACAGTAATTCAAGACGCTGAGACCACATATCATGCGCACAAATCGCGTAATAAAAACCATGGCGATATATGATAGGGAACATTTGTTCAATGAATAGTAGTAATAACGATAAAGAGGTGAAAGTTAACAGGAAATTGTGTATTTGGAAGATAAACTTTAACTTGATGACCGGTAATGATTTCATAAGGAATTGTCCACTGGATAGTATCGTTAAATATGTCACGCAAGTAATAAATACTTCGCTCCAGGTGGATAATGGCGTGATGCCCTCTTTGAAAGAAAATTCATTTGGGTTTTTGCCTCGGAGCAATGTGTATGCTTGGACAAAATAGTCATAAAGACAGACGCCAAACGGACGGTCGATTGAAAGTAAATAAGTCGAGTTTTGTGAAGAGGCCATTTGCAGAGTAAAAATGAGCGAGAATGTGGCTTTATATTTAAAAAAAATTATTGATAACCCAATCTCGTGATCAGTGATTAAATGATAAAGATCAACAACCAATCGGATTGCCATCCAATATTCACCTGCCAAGTTTTTAAATTTCTTATATTGAAGATCTTGCCTTATCGGTATAATTACCGGCTTAGCTGGCTCAATTGAGCTGATTTAATTTCTCCAAGTTCTGATTGGATACAAAGGCAAATAAGTAATATTGAGGTAACCCACCAGGTGATATTTTTATTATATTTAATTAATGCCCCTGCCGGATGGCACGAACCAATAAGAATGAGCAAATTTTTGATCAACCCGGATGAAATTTGATCTGAAACACTAATAAAAAATATCAGGAAGACAGTTTTACATAGCGTTACTAGCTACATATTTCCTATTCGGGAAACTTGTATTCCCCGCACATTTAAGTAAATCCTGGGTAAACCTGGCTCGAAGCACTAATAAAAGATGTCGGGAAGACAATTTTACATATAATCCTCCCTCTAGTCCTAACCCTAACACTAACCCTTAATCCTAACGCTAAAACTAACCTTTAATATCCTCGATCAATCAGAACTTTGGGGGAATTAGTAAATTCGTTCTTTATAGGTTTGCTGTGTCGAGATCGACAAAACATGGCATATTAACATCCAAATATTGGGGAACACTAAAGCAAGGTAGTGGATTAAGGATTAAGTCAACTCGGATAATCTTATAATTATCCGGATTGACTTAAAACACATGACCTATATTTGTAGCACATTCAATGATTGGCTATCAAAACAAAAACGAACAATGTCTTTTGTTTTGTAGTTTTGTCCAGCAAATTCTAGCTGGGACCCTCACCAACGAAAAGAAGCGCCGAATACTCACTAATAACACCACCGACGTGAAATCAAATTGGAAACTGATCGCGACCTGGAGAAATTCGCAACTTCAGCGAAACGAAAATGGCGGCCAAACTCCTAACAACAGCTTACGCGACCGGTTTCGTACCGAGTTTCTTGAGTGAGAGTATTTGGCGTTTCTTTTTATTTATTGGTGGGCGTCTAGTTTCTTCATTTCGTTGGTGGTGTTGCAAATTTCGACTGGTTTCCGGTTTGGTCTCGCACCGGGTCTATACGGTATGTTGAACGCCCATATCTCTGGAACACATGATCAGATCTTTGCGATCTATAGCCGCCTTATAATTAAGGTGAATATTTTTGCGTTTAGATCAACAATATTGGTGGAGTTATTGGTATCCAAAGTCGGCGCATGAAGAATCGCAAACTGCCGGACAGTTCGTGAGGCAACAATATCTCGCCGATCTGTGTGTAGAATTTTGCGAACTCGGGTTCGTTTGATCCGTTTAATCAAGACGAACATTTTTTGTATTCGGACCACAAAAATTGGTTGGATTTTTCCGAGATCGCTGGTGTTGGCTAGGATTGGTAAGAGTTCCTCGGGTGTCTAGTTTCTCTGTTGGTTTCGTCGCGACCGGATCCAGTGGGTTCTTTGGCGAGTATTTTATTTTTCGTTGATATTTCAGATGAAATGGAAGTCTTTGAATGGAAGTGGTCTTGAAAACAATGTCAACAACAATCAAATAAAATTTTTTAATTGGTCAGTTTATTTTTGCTGTCAACCAAAAACACTGTAAAATTGCTTGCCAACTTTATGATTAGTACTTTTAGTGGGGTTTATTCAAAGAATGTTAAAGCTCATTATGCCAACACTAGTATTTTTATTGGTTATTATCACATGAAACAATTTTGTTTGTTGATCAAAATTATTCAGCCAATCATTACTTAGCGCGTGAAGATTTTCACATGATCTGGATACGGATCGAATCCAAAATCACATGATGTTACCCGGCTTTAGTGTATCTCCAAATATATACAGTGGCCCGCATAAATAACGCACCACTTGCATCGCTAATCGTTGATCACCTGATTTTAACTCACATGCAATTCGATGAACGCAAAAATAATAGACAAATAACATCTAATACTGTGCTACAAATGGTAAATAAACAGAGACATATTATTATGTTAGTTCGTCTATAATCCATGTCGATCCGCCAAAGTGGTGGTACATTTTTTTTGTCATTTTTATCAAGAATGTGAAAAATATGTTTTAACTTTTTTTTGAACATATAAAATCAAAAAAAGTTTTATAAATCAAAAAAAGTTTTATAATAAAGATTTCTTAGCATGTATTCTATTAGAATTAGCTATTTTTTTAAAGATTTTAAAATATAATGACTGATAAAAAGTATAAGAATACTTATTAATTGTTAATAATAATTTTTTGAGTACTTTACTATGTAAAGTTAATTTTTTATTAATTTAATAATCTTCTATATAATAATTAAACTTGTTTATAATGTTAAGTTCTATAAGATAATAAAAAATTTTGTTGTATTTTAAAATATAAATACAAAGAATTCGCTTTAAATACACCCTCTCTAAATACATATCCTCTTTAAATGCACACTTTAGTCCAGTTCCAAGCTGGAATCATAGTGCTAAATGCACATCCTTCATATTCTCATCATGTAATATTTTAGCATCTGATATAAAATATATTATATTATTTTAAGTATATTTCTATTGGATAATTAGTAAATATATGATCTATAAATTACAATCTTTTTTTAGTTCATATTGTTATTATATGATATTTTAGCACCTAATATGAAATATATTACGTTATTTTAAGTATATTTTTATTGGATAGTTAGTAAATATATGATCTACAAATTACAATCTCTTTTTAGTTTCATACTATTTATTTTATATTTTATATTTCATATAGTAAAAATAGCATAATTATGTTATTTTCACTTAGTCTAGATTATGTATGATGATGAAATCATATATGCGTCGTCATTTGAGTGATGATTGATTCACGAGTTCATCATCACACTTAGATATTTATGATCTATAAAAAAATATAACGACGAATTTATGTTCACGTTGTCACATTTGGATACCCACGACCTATAAAAAATATGACACCAATTTTATGTTCACATCGTCACTTTTCAAATAAAGATAACTTTTAATATCATCCAAAAGCATAATCTGAAAACTGCATCAGACGATCGTAACAAATTTTTGTCGTCACCCACATGTGACATAATGTATACTGGTTTGGTAACTGTGATTGATTTCTGTTGTTAGACTACATGGGCAAAAAAATATATCTGATAATACATCCAATCATATATCATCATTGTGAGGGTGAGTATGCTATCAAACATATATATGCAATTGTTATCAATACATACATCATAAATATTATTAGGGAATGTTATCAAATATGCATTGCATAATTATGTTGATTAATACTATCTAATTGCTATCTTGTATGCTACATATACTAAGGATGCTTGCCTAAATCCTTTCAGAAAAATATCGTCATAATTTCAACAGGTTACACACTAATTGTTAATTAGAATTTCGACATAATTTCAGTTACGACGGGTTTCAAAATTCGTCAGAATTTTGACGGGTTATTTACTAATAGTTTATTATAATTTTGACAGAATTTAGACAATCACTAAGGGATTTTGGCAAGCAACCTTAATCGAACCAATTACGTAGTTTAAATATCATTATGACTAATTTTATCATGCTACTTCTTTTGTTCACGTGTTCTTTTGAAATTATAGTTGATTTTGAATCGGTGACACTATCAAAGAACTTGTTTTAATCTAATTCTAATAGTTATGATATATATTGCTTTTATATAAATTCAAACTATAATTCATCAGCTATATGAATTCATATTTACTAGTTCATTTCAATTCTATTTATTTATTTACTTGTTTATTTGTTTGCTTGCTTATTTATTTACTCATTTCACATGACTAAATTCTTTCAATAAGATATAAGATATTTATAATTCAATAATATTAAGTATAAATAATCCAGTAAATTATTTGATCAAAGTTCATTATATAACAATAATTATCAAATTTTGCTTTCCTGAAGATAATGACTATAGAGAAGTTTGATTGTATAACTTTATTAAGTTATCTAACAAGAGAGTAATTAAAGTAATAAAACTTATTTTTAAATCACTAGCTAAGTTATATTGCTTTTATAATATTTAATAATTTTACAAATACTACTTTTATTATAATACTATTACTACTTTTGCTAAGATCTAATTGCTTGTTTTGCTAGTATCATATTGCTATGATTGAATTATTAGTTTAGCTAAAATTCTATTACTAGTTTAGCTCAGATTATTTTGCTAACTTTGCTATAATTATATTGCTTGTTCTATTATCTAATAAGATCTTTTTTAACTAGTATTTAATAAAATATTAATAAATATTATCCAATAATATTATCGTTATGATATAAATTGTTAAATAAAATATAAAATAATTAATATAATAAAAATTTATATCATAACAATATTTACATTATTAATAGATCTTTTTTGCTCTCATATAATTTAGATATATTTTATCAATAATTAGTGCTTGCAACTTATCAATTTTCATCAATATTGATAACTTCAAAGATATTAATTGTCTTTATAAGTATTAATTAAAACTAAAAATTCTTTGTAATAGTAATAACAAGAATATAATTAGCAATTTAAATCTTGATCAACTCATCAACAAATAGTAACTCTAGATAAAATATCAAGTTTATTTCAAGAACCAGTTATAATTATGCAAAATTTATAGATATAACATATAAAGAATATTTAATTAAAACAAAAAATAATATTTAATCATTTACTTAAAGAGATTTATTTGCTTTTAAGTTAGCTGAACTAGAAAAATATATAAAAAATATAATTAATATTATAATATTAAATACAATAAAAAATATGTTTTAGTATAAAAAATAAAACAGAAGATAATTATTATAATTATAGACTATTATAAAAGAAATAAGTATGCATAATAAAAAAGTTAATTAAATATATTCTAATAAAATAAAATAATTATATTACTCAAATTAAGTCTTTATAAAAATGAATTAATTTATCTCTTGCTACAAGATATATTAACACAGAAAGATTAACAAAAATATGATTGGATTAAGTAATAATGACATGAAATTGTTGAAAAATTTGGAAAAATATATAAATATATTAGTAAAGTGCTTAGAAATAAAAAGTAAAAAAACAAAACAAGAATCTTTCTAATAAATTTTTTATTATTTAGATGAGAATTCAAAATGATAAATATAATGAAGTCTATATTATCTAATAAAAACATATATTGATTAGAAAATTTAAGTTTTTATTATTTTAATAATTCATATCATTACTGAAAAATACAAAAAACTCAAAATTTAGTTATTTAGAAAATATTAAGCATAGTAAAAATTTGAACTATAAAAAATTCAAAAAAAGAAAAAAAATCTAAATTAACAAAATTCTTAATAATAGTTAGAGAATAATTAATTACTATTATTCTAATAATACAGAAAAAATATATAGAATATATAATAATACTAATAAAAAAACAAATGAGTAATATAAATATGAATAAGAGCATTAAAATTATAATATAAAGTAAAACTCATGATCAAGAATTATTAGCAATACAATATAATTATCAAGTTCTGTAGATATCAAAGAAATTAAAGATTTTATATGTTCATATATTTAATCATTCTAATAGTTATTGAAAATTAAAAAATAGAAAGGAAAAAACAAATAAAATTGATTAAATATATAATAATAAAAACTTATCAAAAATTGATCAAATATAAAATACAATATAAAAAAAATTATATTGCAAAAAATTATTAAATATAAATAAATAATAAATAATCTGTTATCAACTCAAATTTTACAACAAATAATTAAAGTTTAATTATACAATATTTTAATTATATATCAAAATAATACTAATAAAAAGAATAGTAATTATTTTCTTTTTTTACTTAATTTTTATTTAAACACTTTGAAATAATATTAATAGAATATTATCAAAAGAACAATAACTACTTAATTTTCATTCAAAAAAAGGTTAATAATAAAAATAAAAAACAAACTCATTCTCTAAGTATATCAGAATGAACTACAAATTAACTAATTACAAAAGATATAAAGTTAAAAATGTGATCTTAACAAATATATAGATAAATAAATAAGTAAAATAAAAGAGTTTCTAATAAGTTTAAATAAAGAATTCTAATGTCATACCAAATTAACATCTTTAATACTTTTAAGAATATTATTAAAACAAAAACTAATAGCAATAACTAAGCTCTCAAGATTGGCAAATATTGCACTGACTATATAATATAAATAAAAATAATCTTAAACAATTGACTATAAAAATTATATAATATTAAAATATTTTTTTGATAAAGATTATATATAAAGATGGATAACTTATCTATTTCTTGGTCAATTTGGTGAACTAATCAGATCAGAAATTATGAAACTAACAATTTTTTATATTATAACTAAAAATAAAATTACAATTAGTTATAATTCTCTGATTGATTATTATAATTAATTATAATTTTCTGATTGAATATTGCAAATCGCAATTAATTGAGATATTATCTTTAGTTATGATAACTATATGATATGAATAATAATTTATTATAATATGAATAGCAATTCTCTTAATTATTAATATAAATGGTATATAAAATTAGATTAATAAGTATTTAATTTTTATTTTCTAAATAATAATTAAATAATTTGATAAATATAAAAAATTAATAATTTACTAATAAAAAATATTAAAAAGATAATTTTATATATAATTTTATTTTTAAGTTTAATATTAAAATTAATTACTATATAATAAAAATTTGCTAAAATACTTTAAAAAAACCAAAAATTTTACAAATAAAAAAAATAATTTTTAAAAAAACAGATTATTTTTCTTTTTTTGGAAAATTATTCAAATATTTTTAGATTTTTAAAAAAAATCCAGATAATTTCTAAGTTTTTTTATTAATATTTCTAAAAACATTTTTTATAAAGTATCATTATAATTAATTTTTGAAAAAAAATATAATAAAATAATTATAAAAGTTTGATTTTTATATAATATAATTATATTTCTCTATAATTATTTTGCTTTTATTTATATATAAATATAATAAAAAAATTCTCCCTATAATTACACCTATATATAATGGAATTAATTTTATTAGTAATTAATTGGATGACTGTATTAATAAGATACTGTATTAATGCTGGAATTATCAAATATGAAAATACAGAAACATGTATAATCACATCATTTTTATAGTCATCTAATTTTGCTTTTTCAAAAGTGATAATTATAAAAATTTGACTATACTTTTTTTTTAGTTTTAACTATAAAGATTCAATTTTATGATATTTTTCTTCAAGTACATAAATAAGTAATACAATCGTGTAACAATACAAGTTTAGAAAAACGCGCGTTAAACAACAAAAAGAAAAACGCGCGTTAAACAACAAAAAGAAAAACGCGTTACGTTGCATCAAATTACGGGGTCACAAGCATTCAATCGACCAATAACCGTCATATTAGCCACACCCAAATATATATAAAAATAAGCTAAATATATTACCGCGGATTGGCCGATGTAACTGTCACCGTTCACCGAAAACAACTGATAATTGATTGATTGTGTATATAGTGAACGTGAGAGGTGGAACCTAGACCTTTTGATAATAAAAAATCGTGCTTTAAACCAGTGTTTTTTGCGTGTGTGGTTTATTTCGTTCTCTATTCACTGTCTGACTGAAAGACTGGATTTGATATTCATTCCAATCTCTTTATTCTTTCACGATATTGTGTATTATTTGTTCTTATTCAATTTGATAATTTACAGAATATGGTATGGTGTCTTTGGTTCAATGAATTATTCTTTTTTTAATTGTCATAATATTGGCGGTGGTGGGGGTTGGTGTTTTTAGTAATTGATAAAACCAAAACAATAAAAATAAAATTATTTTTCGTGTATGCTTTGTCGGTCTCTTTGTTTTTGCGAATGAATACAAGAATTATACAAGAAGCTAGAGGGAAAGCCTCACAGCACACAGCGCAGTAAAAACAACAGACGATCTGTTTTTTATATATATACATCACTTTTTTGCTGACCGTCGTGTTTACTCCGATAATTGTATGATATAACAATAATAATAAAAACAATTAATAGTCCTCTATAGAAAACATTTCACCTGCCGTGATCAAGCGAATTTCCAAAGAATTGCACGAGATAGTCGCGGAGCCACCCGAAGGAATAAGAGTGATCATTAATTATGAGGATATTTGTGACGTTCAAGCGTGGATCCTAGGACCTGGTGAGTGGTGGTTATTGATTTCTTCTGGTTGACGTGAATGCATACATATAATAATTGTTATTAATTTTATTTGATCTTCAATGTTAGAGTGTACGCCATATGAAAAAGGTTGTTTCAAAGTGAAATTGGTGCTTGGTGCAGAATTTCCTGCTGTCCCGCCAAAATGCAAGTAAAAAATTGATTGGCTCTTGATTCAATTAATAAAGATAATCATTTCTCAATCAATCATCATTCATTTTTCTAAACATAATTTATTGGTACATATAGGTTACTTTATCACCAAAATTTTCCATCCAAATGTCTCGCGAGGTGGCGAAGTTTGTGTGAATACTTTAAAAAAGGACTGGAAAAAAGATTTGGGGGTGAAACATATTCTACTGGTTCGAACCTTTGTAATTTTTATACTATTTTTTTTTAGATTAATAGACAATACTGAATTTTCGTAATTGATATCTATTTAGACGGTGAAATGTTTGTTGATTGTTCCTAATGCCGAATCAGCTCTTAATGAGGAAGCAGGAAAACTGCTGTTAGAAGATTACGACGATTACGCAAAACATGCAAGATTGTTAACTGGAATTCACGCGTCAACTATAGCTCCAGTATTTCTCACATCATCCAACCCTAACAGTAGCTCAAGTGATACTATTTCTACAAATTCCACTAATATTACCACCACAACCACTTCATCCACGACGACATCAACGACCACAGCCACCACTACAACAGCTGTCTCTTCAACAACACCAGCTCCATCAACATCGTCTAATCCCAAAAAAATTGCCAACGACTCTAAAGAATTAGAGGCCACAAAATCCGAAGATGTATTAGCACATTCATTGATGTCACCTCTGGCCGACTCTCATCACATCAACGAAACTAAATTGATGGGGGCCAATCTAAAAAAGAATCCTACTACATCATCATCAAATCCTAATAGTAATAGCACAAGTCCAACAGTCACACCGAAAAAACGTGTCGCGGAAAAGAAACTTGATAAGAAACAAGCAGACAAGAAACGAAGTTTGAAGAGGCTTTGAATAAGTAATTATTTTTATAAGATTGCGTGGGCAGTATATATATTCTTGTATACAGAGTATTTAAAGTATATATTTCTTATTGTTAAAGATCCAGATTATTAGTCATTTCTATTATTATTATTATTATTATTATTATTTATTATTATTATTATTATTTATTATTGCTTTATTATTATTATTATTATTATTATTATTATTATTATTATTATTATTATATTATTATTATTATTATTATTATTATTATTATTATTATTATTATTATTATTATTAAAAGTACAACAAATGTTAATTGCTATTATTATTCTTTTAATTATTCTTATTCTTTTAATAATTATTAGAATTCAATCAAAACAGTATATACTAATAGATTTTCTTCGCTGAGAATAAGTGTGGTGTATTATTGCTATAATTATTGCTTATCTCTTATGCATACATACAAGACAAAACACGCATTTACTCATCCTAATTTATCATCATGAATAAAGAAGCCATCAAATGTATTTGGGAACAATAGCTTCGTCTTTGATACTTCTGTCATCAATAGAATTGCAATATTGTAAACTAATTCTATTACGGAAACTTGAAAGTTTATAGATCGAGACATTTTCCGATATAAGTGTGTCATGAAGGTTGGGAAACCCAACGAGGTAGCAAAGGCACCAGAATTTACATTATTGACAGAGGTTATCATGCAATGCATATAGCTCTCGAAAGTGAAGATACATCGTGAGCCGCGATCTCTCCGTTTATTGGTACATCCATTGCCGAATCCATACTTCGTTTGTTTTTATGCTAAGAACCGGAACAAGTCAACGTGACTTAATTTGGCTGTTACTGATACCAGGGAAATAGTTTTTTTGAGAGCTTTAGCACTGGTCTCGAATATTGAACCAAATTACTTTTTAGGGGTGATTTGTGCCCATGTCTAATTCGTTTTGAGAATTATGAATACAGGGGAAGAAATTGCGAATGTCAAAGATTTAGCAATTAAACAATTTATTCGCCAATGCTTAAATTACTTGAGGATGAGAAAAAACTAAAAATTATCCTATGAATCAAAAAAATCTCAACAGCACCAGTATTAAGATTACTTGAAAATAAAAAAAAAAACAAACCAAGTCGTCAAGATAGCTATCTTTTCCATCCTAACCACAAAAGAAAAAAAGTCAATGACACGGAAAACAAAAAAATCGTTTTAATCTTAGTTTCATTCACAAAATAAAACAAAAGCAGTGAAGTTTTACCATTCATTGCACACAGGGCAATCAGAATCATAGTCAGCCCTTTCTTATATGTATTAGATTCCCAGCTCCGCCCATAACAACTTGACCAAATGATTCACTGCACCAACCGCCAATTCAGCTTTTCCAATAATTTGAGGTAGTAAACTGCTTGAGCCGGTTGCCAACCCCAAGCCGCCAGTTAACCTACATTCATACCAGTGTCGCCTAGCAATCGAAGAGCCTCGCACTAGAGCAAGCTGTGGCAACTATTGCTCCTGTTGTGACGCCCGAAATACTATTTTGCCAGAAAAATTTCCTACATCTTCCAAAAAACTCACCGGTCATATCCCATTCTTTCTTTGAGGATTATTGGTGGACTGCTAGTAATTTAAAGTAATATGGTAAATGAGTTTTAACAAGAATTTGAAAATTAAATTCGCAACTTACATTTCTTGGAAGTTATTGATAGGTGGATGTATTTACGCGCTAAGTTGATAAATAAACAAATTTTTAGCAACGCTAACGAGATATCTTGAACCATTACGAAATTAAAACTTTTACTTAGGTTTTTTTCCAAGATACCAAAGTTGAAAAGCTGGACGAACGGGTGTACACATAGCAAAAAAAGTTCTTCAACCTTACTCAGAAGATGGTGCAAGCAAATTATCATGATCCCTCTGCTTACACACGTAAGAAGTTAAATATCCAACTAATTCTATTCTCTAGATTCCGCTTTTTCTACTCACGTTCTTCAGAACCAACTTTCTTCAGTCCTTTCATCACGATTTCTTCTCTGTTGGAAGACAGAGTGGTGTCTTTGTTATGCTGAAATAGAACTTACCGTAACCAGAAAACCAGTAACTTTTCTCTTTTTATATGATTCTGAAATGTAAATAGATTAGTTAAAGAAAGCCCAACATACTTTGATTGTCCAAACTTCCAATTGAAAAGGACAACCTACCGTAAAACGCGTCAGGTTTAGTAGACATGATTCAAACGGGTCTAATTTATGACTCACAGATTATCTCGATCTCGATCAAATTACACAAGAAAAAGAAAAATACAAGAAATGCGAAAAATACGAGAAACAGGTGCCTAATCTAACTTGGAGTACTAATTAAAAACGTCAGGGAGGCAATTTTTATTATAACTTATATCTCAGCCTTAATCCTAACCCTAATCCTAAAACCAACCTTCTAATGTTAATTAATATTACAGTAGAATTTTCCGAAATTAACAAAACCTGGCACAGATTTCTTACGTGCTGATAACAATTATCATTACGCATAAACATCCTCCACGTAACCACTACAGTCAGGGCTCGATTTACTGACTGGTTGGAAAGGTTGACATAAGATTTCGGCGAAAGATCTCGTCGCGCATTTGAAGATTTCTGTGAAACGGAACGGAGCCATTATAATTTGCCATTGATTAATTTAGATTTTATTACTAATTTCGAAACATTAACATTAATACGTATCGGTATTGCCATTGTAAACAAATTTAGAAAAGATTGGTGATTACTGTAGATTGAATTATCAAATATCAATATTCTAGCCATGATAGACGAAATTTTGAGATATAACGATGATATTGATGATATTTTTAAATTTTTGCATTACACATTGATCTTGCATCATATATTTTTTCATTATGGTTAGGGTACAATGCAAGACACTTAAAGACACCAATAGAATTACTCATCTTTAAGATCATACAAAAAAAAGGTCTAACTACAAATAACAATTCATTGTTGACTAGTATTCATTTATTTTCATATGATCGATGACCCAGTGAAACAAATAATGTGACCTATGATTGTCAAATCAAATTTTATTGATCAATCACAAGTCACATTTTGTTATTTTATTGGTTATTGCAAGGAATTCTACAGACAGTGCTTGCATTTACTAATTTTCACCCGAAGTTTCTATTGGTCAGAGGAGATCCCAATCTCCGATTGGGCGAAATTGGTGGCGC